GAATGGGTCTACGAAATACCAAACAGTTTTGTAGCCGAGGTGAGTAAGGAAATCATTGATAAATTTGACAGCTGCCGATGTGGCGGTGCAGTGGTTCGTACCGCTGACTGCAACGCAGAAGGCTCCGGGTTCAATTCCCGGTAAGGTCACTCACAAAGTTGATGTTTATCACTTTGTGAATTTGTTCCTAGGACATTGCAGGCTGAACTACCTGATTGTCCGAAAAGCAAGATGGTTCCGTGCTTCGGATGGGTTAAACCGTCGGTCTAGGTTGCTGTCTATGATCATTCAGACGGCGGTCTTTACACAACCATGTCAGAGACCTTCTGCTGCAGTTGGCGGTTGAAAAATTCTGATACCAGGGTTCATCGGGTCGTTGGACGACTTGGTGTCCCACTCGAGGAAGAAGAAGATTGTTGAATTTCTGTAGTTGTTGTATTGCTGACTTTCCGGCTTGCCATTGTTGCCATGGCAGTGCAACGTAACGCGGCAACGATGCAAGCATCCTGGGGACACTGCCTCGATGTGGTGCACTCGAAGAAATCTTCTATTTTTAAGTTTTTAATATTCAGATCTATGCAATCATTGTTTGATGTTTGTCTTGTAGTTAACACCAAATCCTTATATAATTTCGTTTCGTCAACTCTGGCTTTTCTACGATATGTCGCATCTCTTATCTTTGTTGTTCATTGTCTTCGCTTTCGAATGCCATTAGTTCGCGCGCGGGCTTTATTATGTTATGTTTTCACGAGTTACTCTACTAGTTACATATAATAATCATTGATCTACAGGTGTGATACTCCCTGGCCGGACCACCATTTAGTACTCACCTAATAATGTCGTAAACATATGCTACCTTATCTCTACCTTTATCATCCATCAGCATGAAATAAATAGTCGTAGTAGCCTAAACGTTTGACATATAAGGTTACTTTTAATTAAGGAATTACAAATATTTTAAGAACGTCTTCTACTCACAAAACTGAACATCTTTTCTTTGAAATATTAAAAAATAAATTTGTATTTTTCATACGTAAACATGTTGCAAAAGTTCGTCACTTAGTATGTATTATAAATGATCTGTTTTCATATTTCGAAGAAAAGTTTCTAATAAAAGTTGTTCAGATTTACGAGTAGAACACACCCATATACCTAATATTTGTCGTTAGATTCGTATTAACAGGCGCCAATGACACTGGCTTTACTTAATATGCGCGTCATTTTTTGATATTGTTTTTTTAAAATATAATAATGCTTGTTTCTAGTTTGGTTTGGCCTGTGAAGACTGGAAGCCGGCTATGGTGGGCACAGCACATAGTATTGGCAACATGCTGGGTTTGCTCGTCCAGGGGCAAATATCAGATAGGTAGGTCCTAGGCAGCCCTGCGTTTTCCATAATTGCGTCCCAGGCAATGCAGAGTCTGTGGAGAGCGTGCAAAAAGCCATGCCGCTCCCATATCGGCTTATACGTACAGCCATGAAAAATATTGCCTCAGACACTGAATAAATCGTCTGACACAGACGTATGAGGCCAATGATGATGTTTTGGCGATGTAGCTCCGGCTAATAAGGGGCAAGCTTCACAGATGAGACGCGCGACGGAACATGACGTCTGTAAGACAAAACGATCGTTGGAGACGTGAGACGTGCGACATTGGGACGCTTGAAACGTATGAAACAGAAGAAAGAAAGCTACACACGTCAGACGCGTCAAATCGATGGGTCAGGGGACGCATTCCCGGATCGTGTTTTGTTTTTGTATCGTCACGTATGAAAGTGAAATAGTTACAGACGCATCCCCTAGCGCTTTGTATCGCACATCGCTGCGTTTACGGATGCGTCTGTAAAACCGTTTGACATAAGCCGTATGTGTATGAGAATAAGGTCGACATCAAAGACTTATATACGGGGTGTTAGGGACGGTGTAACGAAAACTTTGCAGGCGTGCTCAGACCATGAACTGAACAACTTTTACTATGGAGCCAATGGTGGGAAACGAAAAACAAATTCCGAACTCCCATACAAAGTCAGTCAGCTGATCGTGAATTTTGTATGGGAGGTCAGAATTTTTTTTTGTTTTCCACGATTGGCTCCTAGTAAAAGTTGTTCAGTTTGATGATCTGATCTAGCCTGCAAAGTTTTCGGTACACCGTCCCTAACACCCTGTATATAAACATGCGTAACGCAGAACAGAAGCGGATGCTACATGTGTTTCTTGCCTAAGGAATTGGTACTTTCAAAGAGTATAAAATAATATTATTTTATATTATATACCTACCATTCGTTATTTAACGACTTTTTATCAAAACACACTTTTGGTTTGTATTTTAATGCTTAGTCGATTGCGTTGTTTGCTTGCGTTAATATATTTCAACTCTGGCCATGAAAAAAATAACGTTTTTTTGTTTCAAAGTCACTATGCCAACCATGTCGAAAGCTCTTGTATCTTATTCTTTGTAAGCTCTAGTGTGCAATAGGAGAAACTACTTCTAGCAGTGGAGAATTTTTGTATGAAAAATTTAATGAAGTACGTCGAAAATTTCCAGATGGGGGCGTAAAACTGCAGCTGTATTTTCTGGTACTATGGGAGCTGTCCTTGGAATAACGAAGAGTTTTTCTACATCTTTTTGGATCTACGTCATATTGGAAGGTCTCGAAGCAGCCATAGGAGACGCGTTATCGCCAATATTCATGTTAAGTAAGACAAACACTGTATTTTTGATAAAGTTCAAGATGAGGCAGGCAATGAGGCGAGCACACTCCTATTTGAAAGGACAAAGTAGAGTTAAGCCGTCCGCTATTCAATTAATCAAGATTATGTCTTTCAGGTATAGAAATTGTAGAAAAGAAGAAAGCAGTCCTGTTCCAAATGATTCTTTTGAATTGCTACACTTGCGGACTTATAATAATGCCTTTCATCGCCTGGGCAGTTCCTTACTGGCGAAATTTCCTTCGAGTCATCTACGCTCCTACATTGCTCATACTCACTTATTCCTTCTTTCTTGACGAGAGTATTCGATGGCTCTTCAGCAAAGGAAAAAAGGAGAGAGCCATAACGTTAATCCAGAAAATTGCTGACAGAAATGGAGTAGAAATCGACAAAACCACATTGAACAAATTGGACTACACAGGCGAGGACGAAACGAATGTTATCAATGACAGGAAGTTACTCATGAAGACGTTCAAGTCGAAGATAATGATGCAGAGGTTTCTAGTGTGTATGGTGTGGTGGTTCACCATAACGCTGATCAATTACGGAATGATGATTGGTGTCGTGTTCGTAGACGGTAACAAGTACATCAACTTCGCTTTGCTGATGCTGTGTGATATACCGTCAAACGTGTTCTACTGGATGGCGTTGTCGAAGTACAAGAGGAAAATTCCATTGTTTACTTCGTTTATTGTTGGTGGGATATTCTGTGTGAGCCAACCCTTCGTACCAAAAGGTACGTGAACATTGTGTGTTTGTTTTATAGGGTTCCATACCTCAAAAGGTAAAAAACGGTACCCTTATAGGATCACATTGTTGTCCGTCCGTCCGTCTGTCTGTCATTCTGTCAAGACTCTTTATCTCGGAAACGCGTAAAGATCTTGCTGAAATTAAGACCGTATACTCAAGTATAGGAAAGCTAGTAGTAAATCAAGCACCTAATTTCAAGTTTCAAAAAGATACAGCTGTTTATGCAGTAAATGTAGGTTTTCCAACCAGAATAACCTACAAATAGTGAATACTTGTGATTGTCGGCGCTTGGTGAAACTCCATGTTTATTTACTTTTTATTTAAACCACTTGTACTTGTTTGTTGTACTTGTTAAACGTTTGTAAAAATATATTGCAAATATTTCAAGTGGTGATACAGTCCATGAAACTGGACAAGTTTTTCCAAGGAATATACTTAGGTCGAAAATATATGAAAAATACTAGAAACCCTTGTCATTTCGTCAAGTCTGTCTATCCGTCCGTCCGTCCGTCCGTCTGTCTGTCTGTCTGTCTGTCTGTCTGTCTGTCTGTCTGTCTGTCTATCTGTCTGTGTGAAAATTGATCGTGTTGACCCAAATATAGAAACGTTATATCAAAAATCACGAAAAATTATATCAAATGTTTTTTGAAATAATTTCCATATAAGTGAAAGGGGACCAAAATTTTTTTTTCCTGTTATATTGACTAGGGTATCGTTGAATAGGTCTTTTAAAACTAAGGGGAGGTTTCCTTAAAACAAAGTCATTCAAATGTTTCTGTCTCGAGATGCATTTGATTGACTTTGCTTTTAAAAGGGGCGTTTTTGACCCATAATTTGTTCCAGCTGTAACTTCTAAAGTATAAACGGTAAAAATTTGAAAAAAATAGGGAATATAGTTAAGAATATGAAGTTATTATGAAAACTATAACGGATATTGTACTACTTAAGATTGTAAAATAATAAAAGTTTTTCTATTTGCGGTTGGTAACCATACAGCTGTAAATAAACTTTGTAACGCTGAGAAGCCTGATATGTAGACGTTGACTACGAAACTCTATTCGTGGGCGTGTCTGACACGCTCTTGGCTTTTTCATATTTCTACCTTATGTTCCTTGGGAAAAGTTGTTCAGTTAAAAGGACTGGTTTAACCCTTAAAATATTGGCTTTAGATTTACACCTCAATGTAGTAGGGTGAGATAAATGATTGCCTCAGAGCAGCGAGGCAATCAGTTATCTAAGTATGTTTACACTTCTTTCTTTGATAACTCATCTTTTTCATCTCAATTTTTGTCGTTTTTTCCGCAGGTTACGCCTGGCTAGGCTTGGCACTGTTTATGGCATTCGAGACACTGGCAACATTTTCTTACAACATCGTGTACATGTACACTTCTGAACTGTTCCCGACTTATACTAGGAACTCAATGCACGCAGTATGCTCCGCTATCGGCCGAGTTGGGTCGCTGCTGGCTCCACAGACGCCGTTACTGGTAATAAACAATCTATTTCTACAAGTGAAAATAAGAAATAGAAAAAAATGTCATACATCGACCGGGAATCGAACCCGGGCCGCATGGGAAAACGCCCCCCCGCTCTGCCACTGAGCTATCGATCCACCGGTTGATGAATGGCAAATTTTCTATCTCTTGATGCTCGTCTCCAAGCGACGATCCAGCGACATCTGTAGAAAGTATTTAGAACTTACTACATGGTTAGTCCACATTATGAGTGAAATTCAAACTATATTGGGATTGTAAATTGTAATTTTAATTGGCGTTTATCCATGCGGCCCGGGTGCGATTCCCGGTCGATGTATGACATTTTTTCTATTGCTTATATTCACTTGTGAAAATAATATAGCACTGTGAGTGCTTTACAATCCCAATGGCGTTTACCCATGCGGCCCGGGTTCGATTCCCGGTCGATTTATGAAATTTTTTCTATTTCTTATTTTCACTTGTGAGAATAATATAGCACTGTGAGTGCTTTACAATCCCAATAAATCTATTTCTATTTCAACCACAACAGTCCACTGATGGACATGGGTCTCCCCCAATTGGGGGGTTTTGCCATACTCACCACGCTTGGCAGGCGGACTGGCGAGCGCAGTGCAAGGTGTTGTAGACATTCACAGGGAACGCTGCTGCCCATACCCTGGATTCGCCTTTTACGATACCTTTGGGTAGAAATGGGGTGCTGTTATTCTATGCCGGCACCACACGGCGCTAAACAATACATAGTATAAAATGGAGTAGATTTTTGCGTTTTTCTACCTGTCTGCCTGTCTATCTCAAGCGGCTGCGATCCTTGCGACTAGGCTATATAGTTATAGTACAATAGTGTAGGTTTGGCGCCGCTTTCGCGGGAAGCGACAGAGTCGTGCGACCGTACGCCATACTCTTTCATACTCTTCTCTTTTCGTGTGGGACACCGAGTCGTTCAACGACCCGATGAACCCTGGTGTCAGAGGTTTTCAACCGCCTACTGCAAGTTGCAGGCCTCTGACGTGATTGAGTAACGACCGCCAACATAGACAGCAAGCGGGACCGACGGCTTAACGTGCCCATCCGAAGCACGGAACCATCTTACTTTTCGGACAATCAGGTGGTTCAGCCTGAAATGTCCTTACCAGACTGGGAACAAATTCACAAAGTGATAAATATCAACTTTGTGAGTGACCCCACCGGGAATTGAACCCGGAACCTTCTGCGTGGCAGGCAGTCATACTAACCACTGCGCCACACCGGCTGTCATACTACAACTAATTGCGTCGGCCGCACTCGTCAGTTGCATGGCGTCCCACTGCTACTGCCTGCCTACTGACCCCAACGAATATTTCAACCACTTGTTGCTCGTCTCGAAGCGCAGTGTCTGCCGGAAAAAAGGCACCGGTAGTTCAGCAGTGGGAATGTATCCCACGAATGAATTTTCAACTATTCCCCTTTTTTATTTATGCAACAATTTCTATTTCAGATTTCCTACTGGTCCGGCCTGCCAGCCCTCCTCTTCGGGCTCACGTCCCTTCTCTCCGGAGCTTTGACTTTGCTTATGCCCGAAACAGCCAACTGTGAGCTGCCTGATACGGTCCAAGAAGCAGAGAATATTGGACGGAATCCTAGTGGAAAAGAAGCTAAAACACTTGCCTCAGACAACGGAACTGAGTTGAAAAATTTAGAAGCACCATTACTTAACAAGTGAAAATGAAAATTAAATTTCGAAAAACTCACGACAGTTTATTGCCGTGTAAGTTATTCGCATAACACATAGCTAAGAAAATACCCTTGTTAAATCATCATCTATCAATCTCTAAGGCTCAAATTATCTTTATCAAAATAAGACCTGTATTGGTTTGCATAAACTAAATGTAAACAAAAACATTCTCTCACCGCATACACATTTACTGTCTCCGTTCCATCCTGGGTAAAAACTCGAGAAAAAATGGCTGGATTCATGCGTAATTGGTTCGCTACTTGCACACTAGTCAAAAGAGCTTCTTCTAAAACGATACTTTGTAACAATATACCTTAATTATGACGTCACTATATTAGTCTGGGCTCCCATTGACAAAGACGTACCTCATCATAAGTCTACCGATTGAAAGTATGCTCACATTTCGCGATGAGAACCCGCCAAGGTTGCCAGCTCCAACACCGGCAGTTTCCATGGTTTATACGGCTTCAATTTCAACTCGTTATCTTTACGTGTTCCTGAGAAAAATGATCTTGACAGAATGACAGACAGACAGACGGACGGATGGACAACAAAGTGATCCTATTAAGAGTTCCGTTTTAACCTCTTGAGGTACGGAACACTAAAAAAGAATACGTCAATGGGCTGATTTACGTTGCCAAGGTTCAGAGGACTGAAATAGAAATTCCCGGACTAGTAAAAAAAAAAAGGTTCTTTTAACTTCATACTTTCGTGATTAGGTGTTTTATGGAACACAATTTGTTTGAACGTTAAAGGGCGCTACACACCGGGCGCGTATGTATCACGTGCACGTAACCACGCGCGTAGAGATGACGTTGTATCGTATGGGATTGTATGAGAGGCTTCACACTGCTTGCGTTGCGTAGACGTGCACGTACGCGTAATGCGTAGGGCTACGCACAGCTCACACCAGGAGACAAACGGGTTGCGTACTCTACGCAGAGCTGCACGCGGTGATGACGTTGTATCCTATGAGATTCCCTATTGAACTTCACACCGAACAAGTCCAACACGCACAGCTCAGTCCTGCGCGTAACAGCGTTGCCAGACCTTTCTCAATACGGACGATTTGACAGTGACTTTGACAGTGAATTTGACAGTGATTTTGACGGTGACTTTGACAGTTACCTTGACAGAAAATTTGACAGTGATTTTGACAGTGACTTTGTGACCTTGACAGTGACTTTATGTCATTGACAGTGAATTTGACAGTTACCTTGACAGTGACTTCGACAGTGACTTTGACAGTTACCTTGACAGTGACTTTGACAGTAATTTTTAACAGTGACCTTGACGGTGACTTTTACAGTAACTTTAACAGTGACTTTGTGACATTGACAGTGAATTTGACAGTGGCTAATTTGACAGTGACTTTGTGTTATTGACAGTGACTTTGACAGTTACCTTGACAGTGACTTTGACAGTAACTTTAACAGTGACTTTGTGACATTGACAGTGACTTTGATAGTTACCTTGACAGTGATTTTGACAGTGACTTTGACAGTGACATTGACACTGACTTTGACAGTAACTTTAACAGTGACTTCGTGACATTGACAGTGACTTTGACAGATACCTTGACAGTGACTTTGACAATGATTTTGACAGTGATTTTGACAGGGGTTGACAGTAAATTTGACAGTGACTTTGACAGTTACCTTGACAGTGCCTTTGACAGAGGCTTTGACAGTGAATTTGACAGTGACTTTGACAAAGTTACTGTCAAATTCAGAGAATCGTGAATATCAGAACGTAAAAACGTAAAAAAACCAGAGCTGTGGGCAACTACGCAGTCTACGCAACGCAACAGACCCCTTGCGTTGCGTTCGCAGTACGCATCCGTAGGGTTACGCGCGTAACCCAGTGTGAAGGGGTCTACGGCCGTGATTACGCCGTAACTACGCCGTAGTGACGTGCACGTGATGCATACGCGCCCTTTAATAAGAACGTAAGTAAAATCAGCGCATGCGCTTTGCGTACTTCTTAGAAGTTACGAAGTGTCAATTTTGTCACGATTTAAATGTTATGTTTCCTTGCAATTTGGCGAAAAACACTGTACAAACCTCAACTGAAATAACAATTTCTGGTATCGTTTACTTTAGAATTCCAATGCTACTCGACTAGGATTAACTCGGCCTGTGACGTAATGTAAGTACTATTATTTTAGACAGTTATTAAAAAAAAATAGGGAGTTTCGCATTTTATTCGGGTAGTATTAAAACGCAAATCAAAAAATATCCTTTTTCTATGCAATAAGATGCCAAATTCCCATCAAAATTACTGATTGCACAGCATAATATTCAACTCAAAATATCACTATATCACTAAACACACTACAATTTATTTTCGCAGCGTACAGCGATTTTTCCTAAAGCAAAAGCTTTTTCATCAATGCACAGCTAATAATCTTAATGCACATTATACCTGTTAACTCTTTTTCTTTTAAATATAGCTTCTATTTTTATATTATTTACAGCAGTTTTTATTAGAGATAAACCATCATCGTTAATCATACACATCGATAATCATATTTTAAATTGATGACGCGCGCGCATAGCGTCTCGTTTCTAGCACATCGCCGGCCGCTGCCGCGGCACGCTCGCTCCGCTCGCTCGGCTCGTGCGTTGTGGTCAAAGTTCTAACCTAACCTAACCTAACCTGGCGCTTTCCGCGCCAGGTTCGGTTAGGCTATACCTAAAGGACCTATAAACTTATGTTTACTTACGTATGTTTACGGGTTAATATGCGACTGGGATAGTTATTTTGCTATGAAATATGGAAAATTTGCTGTGCAGTCAGTATTAATGCTATGTATGTAGTATTTTTGTACAAAAAGAAATTTATCTCTATTGCATTATAAGGAAAAAAGTTATGTCATATTGATTTAAAATTTCGAATTATCTGCAGTTTATGTTTTGTTAAACATTTAGTTTATTTGTAGTGAAGTAAGATATATGATGTAAAAAAAAATATAAATGATGAATTCGTATTGATAGGCGATTATTTATTTGATATGCAATTTATAATATCCCATTTTATTCACTACCCAAGTACCCATGCAAACAAGTACCGAGCAGTTGTCAAGTAAGTATGACAAGCTGGTGGACCGACCATGCTCGGTATTTATTTTTTATTCGATAGTTTCAAAACGTACAAAATCGGTTATTTATTACTATCAGAATCAGATGTTTCCTGATACCTAAAACATATAGGATTTTAGCTCGTTTAAAGGTATTTATTAAACAAAATACGTTTTCTCAAACATGCTAGGAAATATGACAATTTCTTTAAAAAAACAATCCAGAAAGTTTGACATTGTCTGTGATTTTGTAATTTCTGAACGATTTCTTTTTTACACAACTGCAATCACAGAGAACCAAAACGTCATTCGCGGTCCTCGATAGA